TCCCTCATCATCTCAGTACTTCAGGGAAAAGGAATGTTCCCTTATTCCTGTATTTCAAGGGACCCCAAGAGTTTTGGGGTCTCACTGCATCTGCTAGTTGAATGACTATATGGCTTTTCTTCTTCATAACCTTTTACCACCTCACTTTTCTCATCATTTACAGCCACACATACTTTTGGATCAATATCTGGGTATATATTGAATGCTGGTGATATCTAGAGGAGGGTAGTGGGTGGATGAAAAACGAAAAGGCTGGCACTTCTGGGGAAGAGGGCTGGATAAGATTCCACAAGTTACTTTATAGTAAGGCTTGAAGAATGTAGGGTTGTCCCTGCAGAATGATAGCTTCAGAGGTGCCACAGGGTAAGGTTTGTGAAGTTTCTGAATCTGTCCCCAAAGAACAAAAGAAACCCAGATATTCTCTTTAGAGACTGGTCTGTTTTACTAATCTCAGGTCTGTAAAGTCAAGGGTTGGATACAAAGCTTTAGCAGTTTCAGGAGATGCTCTGGCAGCCTCATAATTTTCCAGGCTTTTGGTAAAAGGAAGAATTCAGAGGATTTACTTTATCATCCTCATTATAACTGGTTGTGGATTCAAGTTTGGATGATCTGACATTTATACTGTATTATTTATATCATGCATTTAAATGGCTAATAGATGCTCAGATTATACACCTAAGGAACTGAAATACACTTGCCAGGTACCAGTCCCTTTCCTCATGTAAGCAGCAATGTATAAAACCATTCTGCTGGAAAAATTTAGAGATGAATCTCATCCTGAAACACTGACAGGGAAAACACATTTTCTCATGTGAATTCAAGCTTCCTCAAAACAGTTGGTGGCTTCACTAAGCTATCATTTTCTATCGTGTCCTCTCCTCTCTGTGTGCATATCCATTTAAAAGTAATGCACAGCATGAGCGGTAGCTCTTTTCTTCAGCACAGCATGCAGTTGTTTAGAAATACGTTTCTAAGTGTGCTAAAAAGCTATTTCAGAAATACTTGTTTTCAGATAATTATCTCACAGAATATATAATATTTGATAACTTTTAAATCAATATAGTTTTGTGTCACTAATTCAGCAGTTCGTATCTATTTAGAAATGTATGTAAGGATGTACTTAACTTTAAACTCATGGGACTTTTAAGTGCTCTGCCAATTAGGCATTGATTTAAGCTCTTTCTTAAATGCTTTGCTGAATTGGGGCTTGTGATGCTGTCATAATTTCAATTAGTAAAATCTCCCAATTATTTTTCAAAGGGCTGTTTCCAGCACTGGAAAAGATCTCTGAACACACCTTGAGTACTACATTAAAGACCAATATCAGGATGGGAGAACAAGGCTTGGGTCTTATAATCATTCAGAACGGTCCATATCTCCAGATAACAAGTCTTGTTGAGAAATGCTCTGCAGCTAGCAATGGAAGGCTAAAACCAGGTAAAAAGACAAATAGCCCTAATCACCATAGTTTTGTAGAAATGTAACCCTAATTATGATCCATTCACCAGTTTTACCTTGGGCCCACTTTTGACCTTGCTTACCTGAAGAAAATCCAGAGTTATTCCTCTTTAATCACTACAATTACAGAGGAACACAAGTGGAATAAGAATATCAGAGTTGAGCTCAGCGTTACTAATTTTTTTTCTGATAAATGGAGACAATCAATTTTTAGATTAATATCCTATTGTCTTAATTTGATTTAAGTTGCTATCATGAACAATGATTTTATTATTAGATTAAGAAAAGGATATATCTAAATGATATTTCCACATGCAATTATATGCAGAACTGTAAATGATGGGTATCTTTCTTTATATTGAAATACTAATTTCAAAACAAATTGCTTGCTTGTGTTTCATATTGATATTTCATAGAGCCAGTTAAATGTGAATGTACAGTTCTTATATACTTGCCTACATAAGCAAGTTTTGTTATAAAAAATAAAAAGAGGAATCTAAAAGATTAAAGAAACAAAAATCATCACTCACAGCTCATTTCTTGTAAAAAAAATTAACAGTAGAAAAGACATGTATTATGGCATCTCTTTCCCATTGACAAGTTCATTTAGTCTCTCTTGTTAAAGAGATTTCTGTTTAATCATAACTTTTTCCCTTACTCCCTCTCTTTTCCCCCTGATGTTTTGAGGATAGCATGAGAGTAGAGAGATGCTATACCAGATCTGGACATGAGAATCACCAGTTCTCCTGATCTTTAACCTTTGTGGGGTTTTGTTTTGTTTTGTTTCCTTCCTAACCGTACATTTTGATCAGGGTTATCAAACTCTTGCTGTAGAGAAGGATCAAAAGTCCACTTTAAATTATGGTCCATGAGGCAAAAGTATAAATGTACAACTAGATATTGCCCTTCAGCCAAGGTGGATCACCCCCTGTTGTCATCAGCAATTTTGCACAAAAATAGAAGGTCAAATGTGACTTTTGTACAGTAACTGTACTTTAATATCTTATTGTCTGCTCAGTGCCTTTCTGTGAGTTTTTTATTTAAACATTTTCACATTTACAAGCAACATAAAACTTCCGTGTGTCCTGGAACTTAATGGTATTTATCTTGCCATTTGCTTTTACATTTATACTTACGGAATTATAATGAAACAATTTATTTATAAATAACCAGAAGTAATCTGCCTAGTCTAAAAGAAAACACACATTAAGTACTGCAGTTATATTTTTAAAAAAAACCCCTGAAAGTACACATGGTGACATCTGGTATATTAATAACAAGTGAATGCTGCATTATTCACATGAATTAGAAAGTTAAAATGCCTCATTTGAAGAGCGCTGTGTTTCATTACTTTTACATTCCCTCTCTATAGAGCAAACAGTTTTTAAATTTTACCCAGAAGTACTGGAGGGTTTAGCTTGATAAACTGACACAAGGCTAAACTACATGATCTAACAGGTCGTTCGCTGCTTTACTTTTTTGAATGCACTGAAACCGATAATTGCTATATAATTACTAAGTGTGATATCGTCTCTAATTTAGAACGCAACTTGAAGGTCATGCAGCTACTTAGTTAAAATAGCTTATGCTTACACACACACGTTAAACTATATCCCTATAAAATAATGGAAACAATTTACTCTGTTATCTTAAGAACTATGTATGCAGGTCTGAGGGAAAAATCATCTTTCAGAATTAAACTAAAAGCCCATGTGTTAGAAAAATGGATAACATTCTGCTTATTTGATGAAACGCAAACAAAGACTGAAGTTCTACATATCCTTAAAAGAGGCATAGCATTTTTATTTGAGTTCGTTTTAATTTTAAACTAGTAAAAGAATCCTCTGCAAGAAGGTAGATCTGATGCAAGCCCTGTTGTTAACCTAACATTTTTGTATTTGACAAGCTAAGGGCTGGTAGTTTTCAGACTATAACATTGTGATAAAGAACTAATGTGCACAAAGGCATATGCAAACTATTAGGCTTTTTAGAAGAACATCTATAGTATTAAGATTTTTGTCTAACAATATTGAGCTACTCATAATTTTAATGTCTATATACAACAGTCTGAAAACAGATTGACTATAAAGGCATTTTCAGTAACAGCTATAAACTCAGGGAATCAAACCTCTGATTTAATTTATTTGATTTCCCAGATCAAATTTGGGCATTGTAAAGTAGACCTGGGACTTCCCAGGTACTCCTTTGTAACAAATATAATGACTTTGCAGCTGATTTTAGCTTCTACAACCAGAAGCAAAGGTTTAGGGATGCTTCTGGGAGCACTTACATCTTTCTTACAATGCATTTCACAAACAAAAAAAGCAGAAAGCTGAATTGGTTCAATACATTTTTTAATTAATTAATTCCTGCTCTCATTTTAGATATAAAGTTTTTGATTATAACAGTAAAGACAGGAGTTGCATACTTCAGGAAGGATGTGAACAGATTGGAAAGAGTCCAAGAGAGCAACAAAAATGAGTATGAGGAAAGGCTGGAAAAACTAGGGTTATTTAGTTTGGAGAAGAGAAGACTGAGTTACTGAGTGGGGATTTGATCTTCAAATATCTGAAGGGAGATTATGAAGATGGAGATAGCCTTTTCTCTGTGGGGCTATGACTAGGAGCAATGGACTCAAGTTGCAGCAGAGGAAGTGTAGTTTGAAGATTAGGAAGAACTTTTTTACTATAAGGGTGGTTAAACGTTGGAACAGGCTAGCAAGAGAAGCTGGCGAATCTCCATCCCTAGAAATTTTCCGGAGCAGGTTGGATAGACACATGGCTGGGATGGTTTAGTCAGGGATAATCCTGCCTTGAGCAGGGGCTGGAGTAGATGACCTTATGAGGTCTCTTCCAGTCATACTTTCTTATGATCCTATAATTTTGTAAAATATTCCCAGATTAAAGTGAGTCTTGTCTATTGTAATGAATATTGCCTGGGTAGGCTTTACTTTGGATTTGAGCCAATTTAAAGAGTATGGTATTTTTTGATATACGTAACTAGATGTATAAATGTATACATAAAATAAACACATGAACACAAACAATATGTTTACATACAGAAATGTACTATTTACAAAGCCTTCTGAAGCTGACACTTGGGAGCACAGAACTTAATTTTTAAATATCAACAGGCTACATATTTCTTTTAAGTAGGCCAAATATTACTAGAGTTTCAAACAGCAACCCAGAAAAGGCCTATTTCAGCACTCATATCTTAAAAGCAGTTGTGTGTGAACAATGCAACCCAGTATTAGGTATGACCTCAGTGAAACATTCCTTTTTCAGTGAAAACCTACAGAAACATTCCTACTTTAACAATAACCATTTTGTAATGGTCACTGAATATTCAATATAAATCTAAAACACAGTATTATGTTTAGCACTTTAAACAACAAGATCTTTCCGTTAAATAAATAGCTAGAATTTTAGAGACTCAGATAGACTGGAAATTCTGCTCGTCTTTAAGAAATGTTGCACTGAATTTATTTGTTCGCTTCATGGGGGCGTCTACATAACAGGTTTACCGCCTAATTAGTTCCACAGTCAAATGTTGTCATCTACACGTACAGTGAGATTAGGCCAGAGTAAACTCCACTGTAGCATAGTACTACCAAACACAAGTATTATTTTACGGTGGAGTTATTTACTCCACTGCAACACACAGGTAGATACTGACGGGGCTGGCTGGGGCACGAGTGCTTCAGTATGGGGGCAGCCTGTCAGTTAGCCCTGCACTGGAGCACCCTCATGCCCCCGCCATCCTCCACAGCATGTTGAGCTGGGTCAGAGCAGCCCCAGGTTGGCAGGCTGACCCCCCAGGCTCCCTGCCAGCTGGTGCTACTCTGACCTAGTTCAACATGCTATGGTCCCTGACAGACATGCAAACGGCATGCTGGGGAGCAATAAACTCCTGCACAAACTGTGTTAGGGTCTATTCAGTTGCATTACTAGCATGTATAAATGTAGCCAGTGAGCAATAAATGATCTATATCAGGGGCGGGCAAAATACAGCCCATGGGCTGAATCTGGCCCACCAGGCCATTCTATCTGGCCCATGGGACTCCTCCAGAAAACAATTATTACCAGCCTGCAGCTGCCTCTGAGAAAGCCAGCAAGAGGCATGGGCTTTCAGAGTTGGTGAGCCATCAGACTGGGCAGGCTCTGTGACTCCACCTCTGTGGGGCTCCCGACTAGACAGCTGGTGTATAGGGAGGGGAGCTCCTGCCTGCAGTGCCAGGAGCCCCACATGGAGGCATGGAGCCAGCCCGGCCAGCCCAATGGTGCACAGCTCCCAAAAGGAGAGCTGAGAGCCACACTTGGCAGTATGGAGCCCATCTGGCCGGACAGCACACGTGTGGGTGAGTGTGGGATTTGTGGCTGTGTGGGGGCTCCCCCACCACACGCCTCCCCCCCATTGCACAGCCCCCACTCCCAGCAGCAGCAGCAGGGCCCTCAGGGCATTCATGATCTGCAGTAGGCAGAGCTCTCCAGTACCACACAGCTATGGCTGAGTCCCGGGAGCTGCACGTGGTGGAACAGAGCCAGCCCAGCCCAGCCCAGAGGCGGGCACCCCCTGCTGGCATGGAGTGAGCCGGGCTGCCCTGATGCCACACAGCTTCCAGAAGGACAGCTGGGAGCTGCCATATTCAGCTCCTGCCACTGTAGCCAGGAGTGCATGCTGCTGGGCCAGGCCTGGCTGGCTCTGTGCTACCATGTGCAGCTCCATGTGGAGTGCTGGAAGCCCCACGTGAAGGCATGAAGCTGGCCTGGCCTGATGGTGCACAGCTCCTGCCTGCAGTGCTGGGAGCCACACGTGCTGGCACAGAGCCACCCTGGTCTAAGCTGAAGGCACATGCCAGCAGGCCCAGCCAGGCTGGCTCCATGCCACCACGTTGCAGTTCCTGGGATTCAACTGGAGCCGCACACCATCAGGGGGCTTTGCCTCCCACAGGCCATGAGTACCCAGAGGGCCTGCTGCTGCTGTTGTCACCGGCAGTGGGGGCTATGCACCATGGGGAGTGAGGGATGTGTGATGGTGCCCCCCCATAGACCTCTTCACAAACCCCACACAAAAGCCCCACACCCACCCACACACACACACCCAAACAACCCCCCCACACACACTCCACACACAATATACAAGAGTAGGACTTTATTTTGAGCTATTATGCAATCACCTCTATATAAATTATGCAAACACACACAAATCAGAACAAAAATATTTTTTGAATTAAAATTAAAATATGTTACGGTAGATATTTGATTTTTAGTATATGATCTGGGTTTATTTTTCCTGGTTTCAAGATGGCACCCCCCCCCCCCGGGAGTACTTTTAGGGGCAAGGAAAGGGACTTCCAGTGGCAAAGGTCAGGTGTTAGGGGCTTTTGGTCTCAAAATGACAATCAGGTTGTGTGGCACCTGTTAAGGGGCAGGGCTACCCTTGTGGTCCTCAACAGCTCACCAAAAGTCATTAAGTGGCCCTCCAGTTGAAATAATTGCCCACCCCTGATTTCTGTCAAACTGAAGTATATGCACACCACTTCTTTTGTGCCAGCTTATAGCAACTTCCTAGTTAATGATTGCCTTGCATAAGTTTATATTAAATACACAGCACTCTGGGCAGGTATGCAATGAGGCAATATCTCACTACTGAGTTCTCTTCCATGGAATTTTCTTGCAGGACATTGTAGGACCCTCCAGAAATTCCCATAATTCCCACAATTCTTCTCTATTTGCCAGTACTGCTTCTGACTTGCTCTCAGGCAGCACTGAGAACATGCAAAGAAGTGTCACAATCATGGCAGCTGTTGCTAGAACCAGGGTGATGCATGCACATTAGCAGTTGTACTGAATAGATTCACCTGGGCAACCTTGAATGACATAGCAAGGTGGCTACAGGGGTATGAGGAGGAGGAGCAGCAGAAAGAAAATAAGCAGTTAAAATGGGACATTTATCTGGAGCAACATCACTCAGGAGAGCAGTGCTTCTGGACTCAGACAACTAGGAACTGTGATGACCAGCACAGAATGCAGATGGTTACTCTTCTATGCATTTGTGTGGAGCAATAGAACCCAACTTATCTGGCCTCCCGCAGGCCAGATCTGGAACATGGAGCCTGTCTGTGGGCCAGTTCCAGAGTGCAGAGCCTTATCATCTGCACCCCCTGGGGCTGGAAGTGGGCCGAAGCATCCTTAATTGCTGCATCTCCCAGAGATGCAACAGTAGCTGCTTCTCCTCCCAGTCTAATTTCTAGCCCCACAGGCAGGTCTGTGGCCCAGATGACATGGGTCTATGTTCTGGATCCAGCCCTTGGGACTCCCTTTGGGTCTGGAAATTTGGCAGAGTGGTAAGTGGTGGCAGCATTAATTGCTTATGCTGGACCTGCATGGGCAGATCAGTATGGCAAATCTAAGCATGAAGCAGCATATTTTTCTAGAACAGTGATTCTCAACCAGGGTGCTGCAATTACAGAATGACAGAACTGTGAGCTATTATAACAACACACAATAGAATATAACAAACATCCTTGCTGTGCCGGGATTTGTAAAAAATAGTTATTTACTTTTTAGCTGTAACAGTTTATGTCACAAAGAGAAGGGATTTAAGGGGAGGAAGTGAACGTAAGCAAGCAAGCAGCAGCAGCTCAGAGAAAGTGGTTGGAAATTCATGGCCATAGGCGGACATGATACTGCATAGAAACAAAAATTAAACTAAGTCTCCAGGACAGATACCATTAACACAAAGGGAGGACAGGGGAAGAAAAGCAAAACATGTGGAAAGAAACTCTACCAAACCTGACAGCAAACAAGCAGGTTATAGCCTAGAATGTGCTGTCTAAATCTCCTTATGCAACTGAACTGTAATTCAGCACAGATATTTCCTGGCACACTTCCTCTCTGCAGTATTTTGAGCAGGTTGCTGATAGAGCTCTTGTCCACAGCAGTTTGTCTGTCTGCATTGGGTTCTTACGTAATTTCCAAAAAAATTGCCGAGCCATCCCATTCTTATCGGGTAAGACAAGTTTTTCTAATTGGTCCCTATGATAGGACTATTGTTTCAAATACCTTTTGGAAAACAGTCCATCACCACATTTATAGATGTAGCACTAGCGTCACTTGCAAAAACACAGACCCGCTCTTTACAACACAGACAGGTAGGCGCATTACCAGAAATCCTGTTCTTGTTTATTATTTTCAGGACCTCCTGCTGGAGCTCTTTGCGCTAATGACCTTGGTAGTGCTGTGCAGGGGCAGGTCCAAGAGTGGTCTCACACCCCTTTCTGAACACATGTTGCACACAATGAGCTCTCCACCAACAAGAGCTCTGGGCACAGTTGCTAGTTATAGCCCCTGTCCCAGTAATCTCTCTTCTACAGCCCATTCAAAAATCCAAAATCTGTTCATGGTGCAGAGCATCTTGTCAGGGTCTACATTAGGGCAATCTTTCAAGTAGAGAGTTGTGACCAGTCCCACAAAGCCATGCCTACTCAAACGTAAGACATGGCTCCTGTAATGTGTAGCTGTTCAAACAGCTGAATACTAGCTGTTCAAACTCACCACTGGCGGCTATTGAAAAAAAGGCACACCTAGCTCAGTCCTATCGTATCTAGGAAGTCTAGTTAAGATGATCTCAAGGGCTAAGTACAGACAGTCAAAAAGCCAGAGGCTGAATCAATTTAATCTTTGCAGGTTAGTCTAAAATGTACACATTGAACCAATAAGCAAGTGAACAGACATTTACTTTGGATTCTAGAAATGCAGCCACATACCTGAAGTGGCTCAGGCTAGACTGGGGGCTGCTAGAAACCCCGTCCCCCCCACAGTTGCCTGGAGCAGACAGGGGAGGTGAAAAGCATCCTGGGGGGCAGGGGCAGAGGATCTGGAACAGAAGTTCAATAATCTGATTTAACCTAAATCAGTTAAGTCTATACTACCTACATCCATATAGGTTTATCTTAAACCAGTTTCAACCATTTTGGAAGCCATTTATGTGCACTGAACTTCTGTTGTGTTACAGATTGTAATCAGTTTCCAATCACAGTTTATTAGAGGTCCACCGATATATAAAAGGAAAATTGACATTATCAGCTATTGGCCTTTTCTGGCTGGTATAGCCAATTCCACCAATAAATATAATATGCCTTCTGGCTGAGGCCCCCAGATGCTGTGCACATGCACAGCCACACACATGCATGAGGCCAGGAATGCAGCCAAGCAGCATGGAGAGCAGTGCCTTGCAGGTCAGTTTATGGAGGGGAAGGGGTGTGGGCAGATCAAAGCTGCCACAGTGAGGGAGGGAGTGGGGCAGGGGTTGAGGGTACTGCTCAGCCAGGGCAGTGATTGGGACCTGGGGCCAGGAGCGGGATGGAGCCGCAGGTGGCTTGTGTGGAGAGCAGGCTTGAGGGAGCAGGCCCACTGCCACTGTGTGCCCTCCCCACAAGAGAGGTATGGTGGTGCATGTGCCCCCCAGCATTTGTGCACAGGGCAGATACAAGCTGCTCACTGTGGGCTCAGGGCTCTCTGCTCCACTGCCTTTGCCTCAGAGGCTCTGCATCGGCTGTGGATTCCCTGCCTGGCCAGCAGCCGGAGGCACAATTTGCTGTTCCTACTGCTGCCAGGCAGACGGGATGTGCAGCCGATGCAGAGCCCGCAGGGTAAAGGCAGCAGAGTGGAGAGCTCTGAGCCCTCAGCAAGCCTGCATTTGCCCTCCTGCTCGGCTCCACTCGTTAAGCGCGTCCCCGCTCTTAAAAATGGTGGCAATGGCACTTGAACTAAAAGCTCATTAAATGAGCTTTTAGTCCAAGTGCAGCTGCTGCCATTTTTAAGCGCCAGGACACCGATTCCCTGGACGAGCTGCCCGCTGCTCTGTCCCGCTCCCTGCCCGCAGTCCCACTCGCTGCCCTAGCTGGGCAGCATCCCCAGCCCCAGCTCCTGCCCCACTCCCTCCTTCACTGTGGGGGCCTCAATCTGCCCCCCCACCCCCCCATGCCTTTTCTCCTCCACAGACTTACCTGAAGGGTGCTGCTCTCCATGCTGCCCAGCTGCATTCCTGTAAATTGGTTATCAGATCAGCATTGGCCAATATGGCTGGTTAATAATCGGCTATAGGTACCAGCCAAAAATGTCTTTATTGGTGCACCCCTACAGTTTGTGTGTAACTTCTGCCCCTAGCGAGGGAGCACACAACTCAGAAGATGGGTTGCAGTAGGCGTGAGACAGTAGAGCATAGGTAGCACAAGGAAAACTGCTAACAGCTGAATAGTAGGCAGATCATCATATAGACCTCAGAATGAACAAACTTCAAAAATGGAAATAAAAAAATTGCACTACCTACTGCAGCTTAAAGTTAGACACAAACCATAGACAAACAAACTGAGGTTACCAATGTAACATCTTTCTGTAGACAAAGCCAAAAATGTAAAACAAGAAAGGATAATTCTGAATCAGTAACAAATTTTATTGCAAAAAAGCGTTTGGAGGAAAAGGGTTTGTTGTTTCTTTTTGTTTTGTTTTAAATAAAAGATGCATATCAGCTCCCTTTCATTCAGTATTAAAAGGAGCTGTAACATTTATTATTTCTTTCTAAGTAGTTAGTAAAGCAATGTTTAGGAGAGGTAGGGGAACCAGCATGTAAAACAGAGCCGATACACAGCACTTCTCCAAACAAACATTTAAGCCTTCCCACTCTTGCCAAAACTGCAATTGTTTGTAACAAACGCACACTTCAGTTTGAAGATCAATAATCCTGGATTTTTATATTAATACTATTATTTGCTTCCCCTGGCAGGTGACATTCTGATTAAAATTGGACATGCTAATGTATTAGGATGGACACTGCGAGAGCTTAGGCAACTTTTGTACAATATTCCTGTAGGAACGAGTCTACAAATCAAGGTTTACAGAGATTTTGTTGAAGTACCTGAACACTGGCAAAGTGCAGTTGAATTAATTCCAGAAGTAAAGCTTCCTTCAAATACAGAGTAAGAAACACAGCTACTATGCTTGAATGGCATTTCATAATACACCTAATATTATGGAGAGAGAGAGAGAGAGAGAGAGAGAGAGAGAGAGAGAGTGTGTGTGTGTGTGTGTGTGTGTGTGTGCAAGGTAGTACTTGCCCAGGGGAAGAAAAGAAAGAAAAACAAATCAAGGGTATCATTCCTGTATGTGTTGTCAGGAAAGTTCAAAAGGATCAAGAGAAACCCTCCATTTCCAACTTGTCTTTCTCTGTCCCTAAAAGGTCATGAGGTGAGATCCTCAACTGGAATAACTGACTTCAATGGAGCTATGTTCAGCTGAGGATCTAGATGACTATATGTAACAAGTTCCTGTATCATGAGCATGTGTTGAATTGCTAACAATTCAACGTGGTAAAGAAGCTGGTAATTTACAATGCTTAATGATCACAGCATCTTATAAAACACAAGAACCATTGCAGGAGAGAGGGAAATTCAGAGATGGAGAGGAGGAATATGGATCCTACAGAGGAGAAAGTGATTGAAAATAAGAGCACCCAAAGCAGACTGGAAAACCCCTGGGCTCTCTCTTCCAAAAGACTAAGTGTACTATACGTCTGTGCTGGAAACTACTGGTATTTCTAGAAGTCAAATTATTTTGTGTTCTAAATTAATAGAATAACATTGCTTTAGTTTATTAAGTGTTTCTTTGTGTTGTTTACAATCCAAGTATTATAGCACTATAAAGTCCATATCAAGTCCTGCTAGATTGAAATCACTGATTGGGCAGTTCTTTGCATATTCATTTATTTGGGCTAAGGACTTTTTATATAAAGACTAATATACAGTCTTAGTCTTTTATATAAAAGAACTGTACTTTAAGTTATTTTAATCCAATGTGTTCATTTAACCTGAATACAACAGCAACTTCCCAACTTTTTAGTTTTCTTATGGAATGAGTTATGGTAGAATAACATTCACTATGTTGTACATTTTAGCACATCAAGTAAAAGCAGCGAGGAGAAAGAAGTCTGGAGCAGTAGCGATGATGAGGTTGATATAAACCTGGAAAGTTTTAGATACAAATCTTCACAATCGTATGGTTATGAGCTTATAGAACAACTACCATCAATATCTAGAGTTTGGCATGAATTTAAAAGAAACCACCACACATTTACAGTAGGAACAGATATTGGATGTGACATTATACTTCATAATGATGTTGATGCATTGTGTGATTCTGGTTTTGCTACTACTGGCATTAAATCTTCTTCATACTGGACTATGCCAAAGAATGATGACAACTTATCCTCCTCCTCTTCCTCTCTATCAGATGCATTTTGGCTTGAGGAGTTTGCCATTGTTTTGGACTAGCTAACAGGCACAAATTTTACCTATTCAGAAACTGGATTCCTGACAAAGTAAATTAACATCGGAAAGTTCAGTATTTTGAAGTTAGCTATTACTGAAAGTTTCTAGTGGTGCATGCCTAGACTACCTAAGAATTTTGATTTTAAGATGCTGCTGATATCCAAAAGCTACCTTTTTTTGGTCTTGGCAAATTTCTCCATCTCCCACTAAGATCTATGAAGAGCACATTAAAACATGCTATAAAGTCCAGGAAGAAAAAGGTACCACATTCAAGTCCTTAAAGTACTTACAAAATACTGCCTTCAGTTTTTCAAGGTAAGTCTGAGAATTAACTTAAGTAGATGCTCTACAGATGTGAAGTTTAATGTTCAAAGACTATTGCTGATAAGAATGCTGGGCTAAAATTTTACCCTTGAGACAATTATTAATTTAAAATCAAGAATATAGCTTACTATTATCTCAAAGTTTTTTTGCATGTTACATCAGCTAAACACCAATTAACATTTCTTACTATTACTTCTCATTATATTAATATACTTGGTTAATTATACTGAATGTGCAGAACATACCCTATTCTTTAGGAGAAAAAAAAACAGTATACAAAAGTGTATGAATTCAGCATTTAATTCAATATGTGCAAGCCCACAAGTAATCAGATTAATGTTTTGAGACATCTGAATTCATATATAACAGGTTTGGTAGTTGATATAGAATATAACCGACTGATAGTAGAGGTCCATTTGGAATCTGCCTTCCAATTCTGTTTCATTCTACAACTCATCAAGAAAAGGGGTACTTCCCAAATCTCCAGTAGCTGCCATTGATTTCTTCCCATTAACATACTTCTTTGCAGCCTGAAAATCAGAAAGATGGAAAATATGAACAACAGTTCCCCACACTTCAGTTATAGTAAGCTGAATAGACATACTTGACTTATTTCAGAGTCCTAGCTCCAAGTGTAATTACTGCTGATTACATCATGGCATCAGGACAAAATTTATATTAGGTGGTCATAACTGTCCCAGTGTGGCGGATCAACAGAATGCTTCTAAAGCAAGTCAGAGTCCATTTGTCCAACTTCCCAATATGGATATACATGCAACTGATAAAAGATATTTGCTATTCTTGTCAGAAAAACAGGAAACAGGAAGGTTGATGGATTTGACACAGGTGTGAGCATCAAGCTAAGTGGGTTATATTCTCAGAAAGGCCACCAGCATCGTGCGAGACCACTGCTCTATGCCTCACATCTCTTAACCTTATTTTACCCTGGCCTGTCCATTTAAGCCAGGGGCTGGCAACATCTTCTGGCAGTGGGGCCAGAATGACCCAACTCAGGTTAGATGCAGACTGGCACAATGTCTTGGCCACTGCTACCACTTCTCCCCACTGTTCAGCTTGCTAGAGTTTATGCCAGTCAACTGCGGTGCGTATGGACAGACACAACTCCCCCTTTGCAAGAGGCCCACACAGGCAACTATGGTGCCGCACAGAAAGAGTCCCACTGCTGCCAAAGCTACAGCTTTATGGGCCTGATCAAAGGCTCTCTGGGCAGGTTGCCATCCCCCAATTTAAGCTAAAAGCTCACATCTCTTGCTGCATGTTTATTCAGTGCGAGGTACAATGCTGCCCCCTAGCGTCCCTGATCTAAGATGAAGTCTCTCAACATCACTGTAATATATGTGAATAGTTGCTTCTGGGAACACAGAGAGTGTGTGTGTGTGTGTGTGTGTGTGTGTGTGTGTGTGTGTGTGTGTGTGTGTGTGTGTGTGTGTGTGTGTGTGTGTGTGTGTACAGGCGACTCTTGCCATTTGCGGGGGATACATTCTTGTATCCCCCACGAATGGCAAAATCTGTGAATAAGGCACTGCGTTCACGAACACGGTGACCCTGGTGTCTGGGGGCACGGCTCTGGCAGCAGGAGTCCAACAGCAGCAAGTGCAGAGCCTCAAGGAGCTCTGGTAAGTGTTTAAAGTGTATTTCAAATATGAGTTTGGCATTCACGAATCTTTGAAACGGTGAATGCCAAACCTGCGAATGACGAGGGTTTCCTGAATTTCTAGAGGAACTGTGCTCATTTAAAGAAACAAAAATAAGATAACTAACCAACAGTATTTGTATCTCAACCTCTCAGTGAAACAGCAAAACCTGTTCATTTTTTGAACAATAATTTGAATTCGGCAAATCCTTACTTGGGCAGTTTAGAGGCTACCATCATTAGGTAAGTAAGTGTGCCAAAACAGCCAAGTGATTAAAGCAAGATAGAGTATGCTCACTGGTTTTCCAGTACAGTCATAGAATCATAGGAAAATTGGTCTGGAAACGACTTCACAAGGTCATCTAGTCCAGCCCCCTGCTCAAAGCAAACTCATTCCTGACTAAATGATCCCTGACAAGTGACAAGCTACTATCAGTAAACTAAGGTGATATGATTTAAAATATCTATCTAGCAGAGATTTGTAAATCCGGTAGAACCATGTTCTGTATGTGCATTTTTAAACTGTATCAGTATTACATTCAGCCAGTAGGGATGGAATGCCATGTCATTCCCATCCTGAGAGGTATAATATATAACAGTCTTAATTTAGGTATGTAGCAATGGCAGTCTGTTTTTGTACAGTAAAGCTTATATACTACTTTGTAGTCATTTTTATAGGGACACATTTACTTACAGTCACAATATCAGCAGTGGCTACAGAGTCAATCTTTTGAGTTACACCAGCTGGTGATGTGTGCGTACCAAATATCAATGCCTCCAAGCCAATTTCATTCAGCAACCCATCTGTGGTCTCAAGTGACAACAAATATGTGGCTTTTGCCTGGTTTCTGCCAAAAAAAATTGAAAATAATCAAATCAATTGGTCTTCTGGTGTTACCCAGTATGTAACCACTCAGGAAACCCTCACTTGGTCTGTGTATTTTTGTGCAGTGTACACCTCAGACTTGCTTTTCCTGAACAGTTGCTTCTGATGCCCTAAAGTTCTGAAGCTGAGTTCCTTGTTCCTTACCAAAGAGTTCAGAAGTCTTACTATGCTGAAATTCAAGGTCTCATTTGCAAATGTAGAAGCCTCAGCAAGAGGCACTAAAACTGGACAAAAGTCTAGGAAGAGGTAGGAGAGGCTCTTTCACTCCTTCAAAATCAAAAGCCCTATCTACCAGTTAGAAAGCTCTGAAACCCTTTTTAAAACCATCAACACCCCATTAAAGAGCAGAAGACACAGGAAAGAGCCCACATGCAGTACCCAAAGCAGAAATCACAGCATACTGCCCTTTTTCCAGCAGTTGGGCATCAGAGGTTAGTTTCTCATCAAGCCTTTGCCCCTTGTACCTCACTGCTGCACTCTGTGCATTACCACAAAAATTGTGTATTAGCCTCTAGCTAGCAGTTGTCAGCTTAAGATAGAGCCCTTTGCTAGCTATTTCCAAACAAGTAGCCACATGTAACTATTTGATCTGTTCTATGCAGGAATATTCAAGTTCAACTGTGGCAATTTGTTTTAAGCCTCATATCAAAAACCTCTAATTAGGAAGTCTCACTCACAACAGATGTATGCAGAAACGTTCATATCTTGTACTTGTTTTATGGCAAAGTCTTAACAATGTTACATTTTTGGTATAACAATTTAATGCTTTGTCATAAAGCTTGCTAAATGCTGCACTTGTTACCTCATTGTCCTTTATTTGCTTAGAGCAGGTACTTATAGCTATTGATATGAGAATCTAGTTTAGTCTATGCTATTATCTTCTACTGTTTTATTTTTTTAATTGTAAAATAGAAACAACTGAAATTGGTGACCTGTGCTACACAGGTCACATTAGCTAAATGTTAGACTACACTAGAAACTGAAATTTGCATCACATAGTAATTGTGGCTCTCTCATTACAGCAAGGGACTTCGGAAGAAAAAGAAAACACTCCTACAAGAAAACCAAGAGAAATGAAATATATACTTCCCTAGTATTAGGAAACAGTCTTGAGCACTGCAAGCAAAACAATTAGAAGATTTAAGACCTGCCTACAGTTTATGACAAAGATATAATAATATATCATGTTTTGAATGTTATCATGTAACAGGAATTAAACAAAATTGACACTACAATAAATGTTTAATGTATCCAAGAATGGCAATAGTAGTTTTATTGTTTTGAGATCGACTGGGACTACTTGAAGAAGAGGCGCCTAAAGTACAATTTCAGAGCTTAAATGCACTTTAAATATTATTCCAACTTCAAGTCCCTGTATATTAATTCTTAATTGGCTAATTAGGTCTACAGGCCTGAGAATCAAAACTTTGTATTTGCCACTTCTTAACAGCAAAGCAATCTTACCCAACAGGACTCCGAGGACATCATACTTAGACCTTGTGGATAATGCAATACCACTACAGTTTAGTACTTCATATTTTCAAGTCATTATAAATAACCACTTGCATGGTTTCATTATTACAGTGGTTTGAGGATGTATAATACCAAGCATTTGCTAAATATTACAGGCTGGGGATTCACTGCAGTCTTATCCTGAAGGGTATTAACTAAATATCACCATTTGTGATTCTAATTGAATAATGTTTCCTTACTATTACTTGATGTGCTTAGACTACAGCTTCTTCTGATGACTGTCATTTTTTATTTTTAGTACAGAAATAGTTATTAGTAAGAGCTCTGTTCTAAAAGAATCTTAAGGAGTTTCTACAGGAAAGCATATAGTGCAATTTTGTAATTACAGGTTTCCCTCACCAACCAGTTTTGAGTACCCACGCTTCAGAGAAGGGAAAGGGTACAGTCAGAAGATACCCCCTACAGCTCCCTGTCCCTGCTCGTGCCTCTCACCCCCCACCCCACCCCTGGCCTTGCTGGTGCCCCTCACCCCCCACCCACAGCATCTGCTCCCCCAGCCCTGCCAGTTTTGCCAACCACGGGAACTTTCAGGCACCTAATTCCCGTGATTGGCAAGGGAAACCTGTATACCAGTATTACTATAAAAGAAAATAAGTCAGCAGGAGTGGCATGAAATCCCCATTCCTAAACAAATAACTAGACTAGGGCATCTTACAGAGAATCTTTACCTAGGCAGTTATGTTGTACAGCTCTGCAGCTGTAACTTTTGCTTTGTTATTAACATAGCAGCAGACAGTATTATAAAACTCTAATGAAAAGCAAACTGGTATTCATTAGACACTTTTTTTCCATCAACTTACTTAGCCCTTTGGACATCTTCCTCTGTGATGTTTCCCTGAGCAATTGCCTTTACCTGATCCATTGCAGCCTTTATGACCTGGGCAGGGGGTGGGAAAAAAAAATTATATTTTGCAGTAGCAGCTTGACCCTTAGTGAGTAAGAAAGAGGGAGGAAGGGAGAGACATTTGTTTTAAAGGCTGCTTGTTTCACTTACCATATTTAAAAACAGACCAGTAAAATATTTAAGAGAAGTGATCAGTACAACTACAAGCCTGTTGGTCTGGTACA